GATTCAAGTACCCAGAAGGCCCTCTGAAAGAGTATCTGAAATAAAAAGGAACTGAAAACTGAGCAAAGCCCAAAACCGGACCGAAGGCAGCCATGGGGCCAAGCCTTTTTGTGGGGTGTGGCGAGGGGTTGTAAAGAGCAGTGGGGGGGGGACAGAGAAATGTAAAATAAGGACGCAATGGGGAGGCGCTAGACCTTTGGGTCATGCCCAGCCGCATTTCGGGTGCCCTGTTAATAATGAGAAGGCAAACTGCAGGACATGACGGAGAACCAGAGGACCAGAGGACCAGAAGACCAGACTGAGCAGCAGGGCTGGGCAAGGGGGCTGGGGGTCTGGGGTGAAGAGGGTCATACGTTGGTCAGTGGCTTCATCAATTTCCAGTTTCGTGGCTTTATGTTTAGGCTGAAGAGGTGAAGAGTTAAGAGTCGAAAAGGTATGTTCTGCTGCCCCCCCTACGGACAGCCACAATGTCCGCCTGGGAGAGCCTTTAATTGCCCCCCGAGAGATCCATTCCGGTCAAATCATCGTTAGCATTATAGGCACTTCCCTCATCTGCAGCTAAATTGTTCATCTTTGATGACACTTTCTTCTTTCCTTATTAGCTTTTAAATATAAATAAATTCCCCTGAAAATTAAGCAGCGAAATTTCCATTCCATTGTTTTGTTTTCCTTCGATCGCAGCCCTTTGCCCACCACTGCCATAATCATGGAAAAAGTTACGAAAACTTGAATCATGAATTGCTTAAATTGTTTACTTCTTTTGCTGGAACGTTTCAACAATTGAAATATCTCAATTTCAACTTGTTTAAAATTTGCCAAAAGCCAACCGCCTCAGCGCCCCAACCAACCCACTATCGGCCATGGAACCGCCAGCAGAAAAGCAGATTTAACAGGCGGCACCTGTGACAACCAACCCGAGAGTTTTTCGCCTCTTTTGCTGCTGCTGCTGCTGCTGCTTCCCCATCCCCATCCGCAGCCCAGAGCCCTCCCACCAACCTCTCTCTATAGATGTCTATGCCCTTGTCCCGTTTTAGTTTTGTCAGTGTGGGGCGGTGCAAAGGAAGGGGTTGTGGTAAGGAGGAGGATGAGGATGAGTAGGAGGAGGCGATAGGGGGCTATGGAGCCGTTTCTGTTTGCAACTCAAATTGAAGGCCCCTCGTAACTTTCAATGTCGTTGGGCGAAAACAGGCAAAAAGTTTCATTTACAAGAGGCGGTGGCAGCAACAGCAACAGCAACAGCAGCAACAACCCGAACACCACCCGAAAGACACAGCAACAACAGCAATGACAATGCCCAGCGCAAATATCAATGATATGTTTGTTAAAAAACACGACAAGGACAACAAGGACCTTTTGCAAGCAGCCGTCCTCCACTGGTTCCACGGGAATCTTTTCTGTGCTTAGTTTACTCTTCGTACACACTATCCAGAAGGCATGCATATTTACGGGAGAGGTTTGAACTAAACAGAAGATATCCTGAGGGATTAATCCCTGAAGAATTGAGCATTCAAATGGCGAGTCCTTAAAGCATTTTTCGTGATATTCCCATTAGCGAACAAATCTATTTGCTAACACTAAAACGACTCACAGGATAAATCAATTAAATGCTTTCTGTGTAGGGTAAAAAATTTACTGAAAAATGTTCAATTAAAAAAAACTTTTTGTGCCTTGCACAATTTGCAGGCAGCCTGCCTGAAGCTGCACAATCGATTCCCTGACTCTCTTTAAGGGTATCAGAAGCATCGATGCCAGCATTCCCTGTTCGTTTTGCTTGATTTTGGTTTATTCGACAACGTTTTGGGTGGGTCGTGTACTTGGCCCCTTTTTGTGTCCGTCCGTCCGGCTGCAGCCATAGAAGAGTTGTCATGAGGCGGCGAAACTTTTGTAACCAGTCGTACCCTCCCCCCCGACAGCAGACCAGCAGACAGCCTCAAGGGCGGCCAATAATTGTAAATTAAAATTGAAACGAATGAAAGCAAATGGAAGATGGAAATGGTAATGATGGCAACAGCAGATACGAGAAGCAACGAACACCAAAAATAATGGGGCTGGCAGGCGGAAGGCCAGGAAGGTCCTTGTCCACCATAGACATGTTTGCCGTGTGTCCAGGGGGAACAGGGGGGAGGGGAGGAGCATGAGGCTCGGTAGGGCATTGCACCGTGTCCTGGAAGTATTCATATCCATTCGAGATGGATAATACAAGTCATATCCATAGACTGTGACCCACAGTGCGTATTATTGTTGGCCTCCTGCCTCCCTGGTGGGCTGGCTAATGGCCAACGCTTTGCCTAATTCCCAAGCCCCGACTCCAGTGTCCGCGCAGAGACCGCTGCCTTGGACGCTTTTGTTACATTTAACTAATGCATTGTGCCTACGCATAATGCCCGCATCCATACGTACACACAGGACACATAGGATACACAGGAGGCAGACAGACAGACAGACAGACTGTGGGACAGATATAAAGCGACACGCTGGGAGGCCATTGAAAACACACAGCACCAGAAGCAGCACCAGAAGCAGCACCAGAAACAGCACCAGCCACCAGCACAGTGGAAGGAATGCAAGTGGAAACTGTATGCAAAATATCGAGAGCTAATAGGTAGGTAGTATACGGATTTATTCCACATATTAATTAATAATGTTCCAAGACTAATTGACGATATTCAAAGTTCTGCAGTGTGTGCAGATCTTTGGCATCCCCTAAATATTTGCATTTCTCGCTTATCTTTTTCAGTGAAGCTGCAACGATTTTTGAACGAAATGAGCCCCACTGTGGCACAAGTAATGCGCCACGTTTATGTGCTACAAGGGTCAAAACCAAATGGCAGTTCCCCCACTCGCACACACGGCAACAGCAGAGAAAAACAGACAGAGAGCTAGATGGAGACAAACGGCACACATGCGGAGGGTAGCCACTGTAGCCACCGCAGAAGGGGTAGCGAAGGGGTAACAGGGGACGTAAACGGAAATGCGGCTGCAAATGTAATTTTGGGCAAAAGTGTCGGGCACGGTTCTTTGCCCTCCTCTCGATGGCTAACCAAATTCGTAATCGATCCGGACTTCAACTCGTTTGCCAGCATCAATCAATTATCAGTTTGGAGAGTCGAGCCTCGTCTCCCCGCTCACCAGCCTCTCACTCTCCCTCTTTCTCTCTCTGCGTTGCATGTCGCACAGAAGTGTATCAATTTCGATTTGATTTCGTAGTGTGAAAATTGGCATGGCACGGCACGCGATTCAACAACCGCTGAGCGCAGCGTGAGCCTGCGCTGGCACCCCATCCTGATCCCTGATCCCTGGCCCATGAGGCAGCATAAATCAATTAGCATTAAGGCGAACACAAAAAAAACACAAAAAGAATAAAAAGGCAAACGGAAAATGGCAAAAATCTGTACAGACCATTGCCCCGTAGGACAAACACTTCACTTATTGTTATCCCCGGCACATAAATAATTGCCGCCAGGGGAGGAGAAATGCAAACACAAAGAATAATCAAGAATACGAGTGAATGCGAATAAACAAGCCCGAAAGGCACTTAATTGTATCAATTTGGGCAGTTAAAAGCGCCAAACGGGCAACAGAAAAAGCAGAAGCAACGGCCACAGTGGCCGAATCCTTAGATACCCTCGCAAATTAATAGTTCATACGACAAGCATACTACATATGCTTTCAATAGGGGATACCATTCCTACAGAATGTAAAATAGAGTCTCATTCCTCAAGCAAGAGAGGGCGAGAGTGGCAGTGACAGAGACAGAGACGGCGATAGACAAGCGGATGCCTGACATGTCTGTGCGTGTCGCTATTGCTGGCTCTCTTTGTCACATTCCCCCTCCATTGACTTATTACTGTGAAATCTTCTGATTCTGCTGACTGGTACCCCTTCTCCCACCAGGGACCAAAGAGCCCCCCTGCGTCACTGCTTCACTGCTTCACTGCTTCACTGCTTGACTCTTTGTCCGCCATTTGCTGACGCATTTAAATTTCTGTTTGCACTGACATCGACATCGACAGCGATTGACTGTCATTCAGGAGGAGTTTTGGTGTCGGTGATGCGGCGGATGCGATGCCCCAGTGGCAGTACGCGCCAAACTGACTCAATTAAGAGAGGCAGAGATACTCATGGAACAGATCGAAGAAGAGCGAAGGAGACTCCGGATCTGGAGCATAAAATTTAATTCTTCTTCGCCAATCGTGGAGATAGCAGCAGAAAAAGCAACAACAAAAACACCGGAATGCATAATGCATGATGGCAGAAGGAGTGGCGAATATTCTGTGGCATGTGAGACAACGTTTTCCCCCAACGTGCAACGTGCCACGTGCCACCAAAACCAAACACTTTTAGGCGCAAAAGCAGCGACATTTATGCGTGTGTGCGTGCCCCGAAAGTGGTCGCCACGCCCATCCACCATGGCTCGCCGTTAGACTCCCCCACTGCTGCATCCACACGTCAGGCCGAATCAATTGAAAACATTGTTGTACTCTTCCAGAGAGGGCATTATGATTTGAAAGTATTTGCTGTATTTCCGAGCCCATATAACATTCATAAATATCATATATGACTTATTTACATCTCACATGCTCTCTGGGAAGAATAGCCGCTGCTAAAAAGCAGTGCATCATTAGTAGTAGCTTGCAAGGTGTGCTCAGGAGAGTCGCTTCGTTGGAGTGAGTGGCGGCGGGCCCGCTAACAGTGCGCTGTAAACGGAAGCAGCGACAGGTCGTTAACGGAGATCGGTAGCCGAGAGCGGGTACGGACTGTTAACCTGGAGTGCTAACAGCTAACAGTATTGCTCTGTTATTAATAATATTCATGTTGTTCTTTGAATGAAAAGCAATCGTATAGCCAGGAATTATCCTACACGATATCCCATTTGATTTAGATGGCAATGGAAATTTCAGTGGCTGGCTACAAGCTCTGATGCTATGGGCAAAGACAATGTTAAGGGATGTATAGGCATTATATCTATTTGGCTTACATATTAGAACATTTCTTTTTATTAAATTTGAAAAAAAAAAAAAAGATTATTTTCAGAGCACGAATCGAATGCTTGGGAAACAATCCTAAAACTAGCCTAAAACTAACTCCTAAATGCAATTTGACTTCTCGTTGAATTGCACTCAGTCTTTATTGCACTCACTTATGTACATATATGTAAGTAATTACAGATTCAAATGCTAGCCGGGGCCAGCATGTAGCACTAGGTGAGCAGTGCCTCCACCTCAAGCAGGTGGCTGGGCAACTCTTTGACAACTCGAGCCAGATCCGAGACGGAACAGGCATACAGATAGCCCTTCCTCAGTTTACTCTTCTCGTTGCCCTTGGAGAGCCAGCGCAGCCAGGGCACCTGCTCCTCTATGGGATCACAGATGACATAGGACTCGTGGATCTGGGCGAGGGTGACATGGGGATTGTTGACACCCAACAGTGCGATTCCGCGCCACGGCTGGGCATTGTCGATGAGCACGCGATAGAAGAGACGTGGCACTGCCAACACTTCGTTGTTGTTGGCATCCGTGGCCAGGTGGAGACCGGCGTCAGGATGCTCCGGCAGTGGCATCTGGCCATAGATGCCCGTGTAGACACTGACCGTGATGCCCGCATCGGCCACAAAGCGTCGTGTGGCCTCCTCCAGATTGGCCCACAGTCCACCATTGAAGATCTGCCACTGCGGCGCCGCGTTCATGTAGTTGAAGCTGCTGCGCTGCTGACTGGCATAGATCAGATCCGCCTTGGCCGCCAGATGTCCGCGGGCCAGAAACAGGCCCGTCTTGGCGTTCATCAGCCCATCCGGCGGCCCGCCCAGCAGGCTTTGCTGATGGCTGTGCGAGTATATCTTGCCCATGTCATAGCCCTGGAAGTGTCCGGCAGTGCTGAACTTTGTCCGCTTCACATTCCTCTGGTAGTGCACGCTGGCGGGGGTCATCTGATGGTAGGCGTAGTGGGTGCGCAGCGTGTGGGGGTCGTGGCACAGCTCCATGGTCTGCACAAAGCGCCCATCCCCAATGTCGTAGCCCACGCGATACAAATGCGCCTGATCAGGACTGGACTGCTGACTGGAGAATTCCAAGATATTCCCGCAGCGGCTGTCCAACTTCTCCACCGTGTACGGTATATACTGGGAGCAGACGAACTTACGAAACTCCAGCTTTGCGCCAGCCCACTGGAAGAGTGTGTCCTGCAGACACTTCACCTTGATGGATCTCAGTTCCGTGGTCATGTCGACAAAGGTTCCGCTGCAGTGGAGCTCGATGACAGCGCCACGGGGTATCTCCAGTTGGCCCTTTGCATTGGGCAGCCAGTAGGCATTCGTGTTGGGGCGCAGATAGAGCGGCTGAACTTGGTCCGATCCTGGCAGATCCTTTTGCACATCCACTTTGCAGGATGCTCCTGAAATTCCAATAATTCGGTAATAGTTTATCAATCAAAAATTGCTGCCGAGGAATTTCTCAGTACAATTATATCTATCTCTCCATCATGTTTCAATGTTTTCCTCATTTACTATATTTAGACATGATTTTGGTGTTTCGTTATTGGTATTTGCTTTGCCTCAAACAGATGTTTGTATGTACATATGCTCCAATGGAGAATTCTCCTTCCCCTTTGTTTTGTTATGTTTTGGCCAACTCTTTGACGATGTTAATGCGAGAGGGAAAGCGAGAGCTGCGAGACTCGCGTTCGAGAAGCAGCTGTTAGCTTGCATATCCACTCACCTCGCTCCAAGGCCGACCCCGTGCCATCTATATGCAGTCCATCGAGATCTTTAATGATCTGACCCACATCTGGACTGGCTGTAATCGCCTCACGTGCCCGAATCTCTCTCAGAATCACGATTGCCGCGATCACTGAGATGAACAACAGTCGTACCGAATCGTTCATTCTTTTTCTTGTTTGTCTCGAGAACTACGTGGCCACTCCGGGTCGCTAGTCGCTATCAAAGTGCTGCCGCCGACTGAAACATTTCTTGAATCAGCAGGTGGTTTTGTTATCTCTCTCTCTCTCTCTGGCACTTCTCTTTCTTTCACACTGTTAAACAACCTGCTGCTCTCTCTTTTTGCGGTTTTTGATTCATGATTTTTGTCGCTCATTTGGCATTCAACGATAAAGAGAAAGAGAGCAGCACAAAGTCACGATATTGACATTTTGTTTGCTGTTTAATAATTATTTTGTTATTTTTGTTGAGCGCGAAAATGCTTCCGTACGAATCAAGCGAATGAACCAACTCACATTTTCGTGTGTAAGTAGAACAGAAGTGAAATAATCGTATATTTGATTTGTCGCTTGGGCTAAGGCTTGACCGAGCAGTGGAGCATCCAAGTGTTGCATTGCATACACATTTTGTGCACATCCAGGTACAGTATGTATGTGCAGGAGGTCTGGAACTATTAGGAGACATACATATATTGCAGAGTGTGGCCATTGATCTTCATCGGCACTGACTTTAATGCTTATGCTTATTACACTTATGCTCTTATTTGTGTGCACTCATATGAATTCCCATTCCCCCCACAACACATCTAAATTAAGTTGAGTTCTTTGTGTATTGTCCCAGTAACAAAAAAAAAAAAACAAATTTCAATTTTAAGTGGATAATATTTTAGGGCCATGCGATCCTTTCTTTATATAAAAGCTGTGCAACAATGCAGATCTCACCGCTTTCTCTCTCTCTCTACAATTAATTCTGACACTTACGTGTACAATGGTTCTTATGACTCTTTTAAAACTAGCATTATTTTCAATAACATTTCAACGAATTTAAATGTTTCAATTTTGAGGTAATTTTTGAAGGCAGACCAAGCCCGTCCCCACTCCATACGCTTGATGGAATCAATAGCGCCAAAGTGCAAGCCCACCTCCCCACCCTGCCACACGCTTGTGCCACAACCGGTCGACTGCCTTTCCTGTGGCAGCCGAAGCGCTTATCTGTAAACTAGTCCACGAAAAATCACCGAGTGGGCAAAGCGAGTCTCGTAATGGTATGTCCATTCCAATTTATGTGCTTCAAAGTTTATCAGAAGCATATCTAGGAGGAGCAGGAGAAGTTGTTTGATAGGGGAGGGGAAAAGGCAGAAAAAGAGAGTGGAAGGGAAGGTGCTATTAAGAGAGAGCGAGAGAGAGATAGCGGATTTTGCACAGATTATTTTTAAAATACAAAATGTTGATAAATATTAGACCTGAAAGTATGCTACGAACTATATGCAAACTCGCTACAGAAAAGCGAACAAAACCCCACAGAGGGCTCTAGTGAGCCATTTATAGCAGCTTTTCGAACGAAGCTTTGACTGCTAGAGGGCGCTCCAACAAATGTCTCTTTCTGTAAACATTTTACCTAAAGAGAAAGTGAATGTAGGAAATTTCTTTTATAAAGTTGGTGTTAATTTAACAGTAAAATCTAGAAAAATTAATTAAATCTCGAGAAAAATCGAGAAATAAATGGCAAAAACGTGAAAAATATAGAAAAATGGAATAAAATATAGTAAAGGACTAAACCGAGCTGTAGAACGAACCGGTGCAATGTAATATACATACACTGATAGAAAAAAGGCATAGTAAAAATAACTGCAATCATATGTATTTGAATTTAAAATGCGATTTTTAAATACAAACATGGTAAAATTAAATAGAATTCATTTTGATTCAAACATAATTGTATTAAAATAAAATTATAAAATTAATAAGATGAAAATCACATGAAATCAAACAAAAATAATCAATAAGGCTAACACAGTAGATTTGATTGCTTATAAGAAATAGGCCCCTATATGTATACATATGTATGTATGTCTGTATATGAAAACGGCAGCCTATCAAGCTTGTCTCCAGGAAAGTAAGATCCATGCTAAAGAACAGTAAAAACTGCCTACGAATGCTGCGTGTTATGGGTAGCAATTTTCATTTTAATTTAGTTTTATTTGTGATTTAATTCTTAGGAAAATGCTGCAGAAACTATTTAATTTGTTCAACTTTCAATGACCTCTCCATAGGTAAGCCACCGCCATTCGATAATGGGTGCTCGTGCCATATCCGCGACTGCGTCCGCATCTGTTTATTTGTTGTTTCTTCCCGGCAAATGGCGTTAAAACGCTGCTGCGGGCGTGGCACCAGCCCCGTTCCTGTCTGTGTACCCGTCCCCGTCCCGACACCCAGGGGCAGTGTGTCAGTGCAGGCGTCAGGGGACGACATCGGTAGCCGAAACAACAAACAATGATTATTGTTTATTAGAATAACAATGTGACCAACAAATGCCCAAAGCTGACACGTTTATTAATGGCCATAAAGCAGCAACGACACCACTACCTCCATCGCCACCTGAAAGCCCCCATTCAGCACTTTGGGGTTCACGGGTTGACAGCTTCGCGAGTTCTACAGCTCTCAGTTTCTCGGGGTTCATTCACTCACTCGCTAATTGCCCGCCGCATTATCCGAATCCTTGATGGTTGGACTGCCGGTGGAGGAGCTTCTGCTTATTATTTAATGAATGCATTCATTGATTTTTAACGATTTTTAATGATTTTATTAGCAATTAATTGTGATTGCTGTTGGCACAGCTGCTTAAGCCAAAGGTGGTGCTCACAGGGGATCACAGTTGGAAATAAATCATCGATGAACAAGCGATGAAACGATGGAGGAAGAGGAAAAGGCAAGCGATAAGCAGCGATTGACCTGCGATCATCCAATCGAAGGAATAATTGAATTTTCCACAAACAAAAAATATATCGTAGGCACATGCCAGATAAAGATAGCTATGAGTACAAATAGTAGTCTAGAAAAATGAAAGGCTTGATTCAGAGGCCCTTAGCATTCCCCTAAGAATAAAATAAAAAAATTAATTAGGGAGCAAAAAATATTAAAAAAAAAAAACACACACAACGTTTAGCTTTTGGTAAACAACAAATAAATCAATTGCAAAAACAAAAAGTTTAATCACACAAAAAAAAAGTAACGCATTCCGATGGATTCTACACACACACACACACTTACATACATACATATATGTATATATATGTATATGCATGTAAGCTCTAAATTTGTGCATGACAATGGAATTTTGGCATTTCGTCGTGAGGGCTTCAGCGACTGAATGATTGAATGCCAGACTAACCAGACAGACACGGACTAACAGACAGACGTCGCATATTCATACGGAACACACACACAAATGCTGCGACAGAGACAAACAGAGACACACGCAGAACAGATCGAACAATAGAGAGAGACAGAGGTAGAGAGAGGATTGAGCCCAGAGGGTCATAGGCACACAATCAATTGACGATTAATCGATTAGCTGATATTTGACACCTGAACAATTATCGGCACGAATGACACTCAACAACACGCAGGGGGTGCGGGGTAGGGGAGTGCATGTGGACATATGTATGTATCTGAGAGTTGAATGTCGAATTTCGAGCCTGAACACAGCAGCCTGAACAGCCTGGACTAAACACACACAAGCAGATAATTAACTGCGTCAAAGCGCAACCAATCAACAAACAATGAAGCCAACCAGGTAATTGCAATAGCCACTGCCAACCATATTAATATCCCTATCCATATCCATCTATGAAATGCATAAATGTATGTATTTGTCACTAACTAATACCCATACCCAAGCCCGCACTGCTGCTGAGCAAGTGGATTGCATAGATGTCTAAATAAAACTGGGAGATGTGGTTAAAGTTTGACTTAAAGACTTGATTTGATTGGGTAAAACAATAATAATATTCAAGGGTTCTCGTGCACTCTCATTGAACTGAAGAGACTCTGCTGCAAAGCTCCTAAAATGATCAAAAAACTATGCCAAGTGAACATTCTATTTTTTTTCCATTAATTTTTTTTTATATTTGAGAAATATTTTTGTGTGTTTCTCTACCAAAAATCTATCCAAACTGATCAACTAATTGTTAGAAATTCAGCAAAAAGTATTCAATATTTGAAGAGCAATCAAAAGTCGCATAAAATTTTAATTATTCATCGACGCTTTTATGATTCATTTTTGATTGTTTTTTGTTGTTGTTGTTGTTTATAGACCAATCTTGTTTTGTGTGGCTTTTGTTTCTTAAAGCGAGATTATGACAGTTTTGTGGATCGTTGGCCGTTTTGTTTTATGACAGCTCTAGCCGAAAATTGCCCTTAACGATCGACCGATCGCCGATCAGGCAGCAATCAACGCCAATACGGGTCCAGCCATCGATAGATCAGAATGTGCGGGGGGCGGCTCTAGATCTGGATCTAGATCTCAAATCTATTTTTTTTTATGTTTTTATGTGTTGCCATAAATAAATTTGCACATTAAGTGTAAGCATTTCATTTGCATTTAAGTTGTTCTGGCTTACAAGAATACGAGTGAGCTACAAATATTTTCAGTCGAAATTTCTGTTTTTAATTTTCGTTATGGCAATATGGCACCCTGCAACGATTTTTATGGGCGTAGAAGGTGAAGCGACGTGGAAGTGCATTGAACCTTCCCTTCCCATTGGAATGGATGCGAGCTGTTGAAAGGAGAACACTGATTCGCTGCCGACAAAGAAATCGCAAATTCGTTGATTTGATTTCTATAAATATATGAATATTTGATAAGCTTCGATTTTCGGGTTCTTAATTTTTGTACGGAATAAGTGAAAAATGATAAAGTACAGGGAAACGTTTACGATACATTTACAGCTACATTTACTGCTACATTTGACAGCCATTGAAATCAGGCAGCTACGTAGCTGTGAAACTAGATCATACCAAGATAATATCATAATATAAATGTCTAGAGTGTGAATGTATGTCAAGTACGAAACAGAAAGCTGTGTCCCTCAAGCGTTTCATAGCATGCCATTAGATGGTTATGGAAAGGTAAAAGAAATCCTGAACTTTATGTGAAAATGCAACAAATGATTATTCTGCTTCACAGAGTGAGTGGCACAAGCTCCTGTTTGAGGAGCTGCTCCCATATATTTACCTCTCAATCGCTTATGGTTTATCTCTTATTTAAATATATAATCTAAATATAATTTATGTGGCAAAGCAAAAGCAAAAAATAATGCAGTTTATTTTGCATGTTTGTTTAATCTGTTGATTTTTCGCACTTGATTTTTTTGTGAATAATAATTTTGCCATAAAAATAAAGATGGTTTATCCACACAGTCAATGAATGTCAGCACTTTTCCTATCTGCATCTCTCCATACTATGTGTGTGTGTTTTCGTGCCTCAGCATATGTATTTGTTTGGCCTATTTAGGTAACATTTTGCTTGTAATTTCCACACAGAATGGCGGCTAGGATGAGCGCTTTTGCATAGCTAAATGCCTCACACAGACCCTCGCTACCTCTCGCTCTCTCTCTCTCTCTTCGCCTCTGTACCTTCCCCTCCACTGCACACACCATCTCCAGCGACACATCCCCGCCCCACACCAAGTATTCCCATATCTTTTGCCTTATTTTATGTGACAGTTTTATTTATTTAGTTTCTTTTTTGTTGCTGCTGCTGCTGCTGTTTTTGCTGTTGCTTTGCATTTCTTTTTTTCTGTTCTTCTGTTTTTCTTTATATTTTGTTGTTGTTGTTGCTGTTGCGCTTGTTGTTAGTTTTAGCCCATCAAAAACAGAGAAAAAGAGAATCACAGAGCAGAGCAGAGCAGAGCAGAGAGAACAACTTGATTGAGGGGAGCTGCCGCAGAGCGAGCGAGCCTTTTGCTTAGTCGTATGTCTGTGTTTGATACACTACAGTTATTGAGGGTATGCCCATATTATTATGATATTTACAAACCTCGCGGAATATCCTTTAAAAGTATGTATACAATTCTGCTTCACAGTTTAAAAGTTGGAAGTGCCAAAAACTCTTTTAATTTTTCCCATAGCTAACACAATCGCTATAAAAAGTAATCTATGTACAACAAAGCTTTACAATTGCTACTAATGATCGTGCAACTGAGAGTGTATACAGAATTCTTTGCCACAAAGAAGTTTTGCTCTCAAGTATTTCTTTTGCATTTTATTTATTTGTTGTTGTGTGGTTCTTTTTGCTTCTTTTCCAGCCTCTTTTTGTGCGTCTTTTTTCTGCCCGCTGCCCGCTGCTTGTTCTTGTTTTTAGAGATGCGCTTTGCGCTTTTTTGCGGTTTCTTGGCCATGTTAATGACACTCACAGGCCCGCACATCACAGCAGCAGCAACAACAACAACAACAACAACAGCAACAACAGCATGGAAAATATGCTGGCGGAAACAGAGAGAAAAATAAATGTCACACTAACACTTGAAGGGGGGTTGGGTGGTAGCGAATGCATATCGTACATCGTACCTACATCTAACACCTCTTCAAGGCCCTCCCTCCCCCCGCACCATCCTTTTCCACCACTCTACGTAATCCCTTTGCCGCTAAGATCCGTCTCTCAAATTCCTGCCCAAACCCCCTTCTGACCCCATCTTCAACTACATATATAGCTACACAATCTCCTTCAAGTACAGTGAAAACATGTCCAAAAAATCAACAAACTGGCACCCAGATAGAGCCGTTATTTTAGGGGAAGAAAATAATCAGAAGGAATCCCTGGAACTTTTGGCAGAAATATTGAATATATCATAGATATATATCAAAGAGTATATGTATATATACTTATATTATCTACTATTTATTTATCTATCTCCATCTTCTGTATATCTGTGTGTGCGAGGTTCCACTGTCCTTGCTTTTGCAGCCCATTAACATTGGGCAGCTAAGCGCTCAACCCAAAAGCCCAGAAGCACCATCCATCCCATCCAACCTACCCGCTAACCCTCTGGCCCCGTCCCCTTTTCTATATTTCCATCGCCCTGCCCGTTCGTTCGCCTCCGCCCACCGCCCTGCAGGCTCTTCACGTTGCCACTAATGGGACATTTGCAATTAAATTACTCGAATAAAGCATGTAAATTGCCAGTGAATGGAGGCGACAGCACCCATCTCTCCACATAAGCACAGGAAGCTACCGTTCGTCCACCTCTCTCTCTCTCTCTCTTTCCCTCTCTCTCTCTCTAATTCTCTCGTTACCCTGCTTCACCCGCTTAGAGGTGAAAGTGTGGAGCCAACAGTGCGTATGTGTAATGTGCTTGGACCTGGCTAAGTATGCTAATGCTAAGGCAACCAGCCCCCTCCCAGAGCCCCCAGAGCCACGACAATAGCAACAAAAAATGAATTTCGTGTAAATTAAAAATTTAAGTTTCATATTTCCCAAATGCCATGACAGCAGAAGGTGCCAGCAAGTGGGATTTCAAGGTGGGAGAGCTTGAGCGAACATTTTAAATTCGCAAATGAGGGAAGTTCGAAATGCTCGTAGTACGGAGTCAGGAGTCACGAGTAGGAGCAGGAGCAGGAGCAGGAGTACGGGTGTATTGCGGGTCGGCATTACGGATGCCGGATACGCTGTTGTTTACCTAATCATTCATGGACTGCAACGCGGGGGAGGGTTGAACGGGCCAGAGAGCGATAGAGAGCATGCAGAGAGATTGTGGTCCGTCTGTCCTTGTGGCCCCCAACGACTGCCACAGCTGCGAGAATGTTCCCCCAAAGTGAAATTCTCTCAGCAGCAGCAGGCACAGCAGACTCTGGCACTTTTCCTCACAAGGTTCATTCACAAAAAGGTGAGCTATTGCGTAGGTCCCTCGCTCGCTCGCTCGCTCTCGCACTCTCTTTGACTTAGCATATCCGGCTTTTTGCTTGTCCTGCGCGTTGATGCACAGAGAGCGAACGAGAAAGAGAGAGAGAGAGAGAGCAATCACAAATATCCCTAAGCATCAGCGGACTATGAATATTTCCTTCTAAACTGTTATACAGCCGTGGCGGGCAATTCAAACGACTCCGCTTTCGGTTCATTGAACCTCTGGCTGGAACACTGGCGGCTGTTCTTTTTCTTAGCCCATTTTTGTTTTGTTTTTTTTTTCTTTTGGGGCCACCAATTACATTGCGGTCGGTCGATTCTCGGGGCTTATCTCAAGCCCCAAGTCACGATTTCAATTTGCAAGCGAATAGAGCCCGAAATCGATCTATTGATTTCATATTCAGCACTCAGAGTGGACGACATAAATCAAAATCTGTTTGCGACAAATGGTGACAGAAGTGAGACGCACCTCAGGGGCATCGTGTCGAAAGGGGGTGTGGGGTATGGGTTAGCGGTAGCCCCCTGATCTAAGGCTAAGCTGGTTTTTTGTTGTGTGGAAGAATTCCCGATATGCTGCTGGGTAAGGTGATAGCTGCTGCAGACCACAAAGTAACCCCTTAACGCCCTTCTGGTGACGACGCCCCTGCCACTAGCTCAAGATCGGCCTGAAGCCCGCCCGGGCAGCAGACAGACAGACCGACAGACAAGCCCTTGGGGACTTTGTTGGCAATTAATCAGCTGATTGCCTGGCCGCAGCAATTAGCCCGGAATGGGAGTACGTACTCCACTTGCTGTCCCTTTATCGACTGCAGGAGAGCAGCACAGAGCTGAGCACAGGGCTTCCAGCCAGCACGTTTACCGCTGACTTTGCATGCCAAAGCAGACAGCAACGTTGACAGCAGCAGAGACGCCAGCGGCGGCAGCAGCAGCAGCAGCAGAAAAAATACAAAAGCAAAAGCAAAAAGACAGCCGAGCAGCAAGAGAAATGCCAGTCGCTGGGCCCCGAAGCCTTGCACACTCTATCCATGCGGCCAGCTAGCACAATATATGGAGACACCATTACATATGTATAGGAAATGAGCCAACTAGAATCCAATTTAATATTTTTCCCATCAGCAGCTTCAGCTGCACTGTTTCACTTTTAGCGAGATTTTCTGCACCCTTCCGAATTTCACATGTCCCACCGAACACACACAATGTCGTCTACATGTGCATGGAGTCAATTATTTAATTCTATTCATTGATTATATCGTAGAGCATGTCAGGCAAATAATAATTCTCCAGAAATATTATTTGGTTGGCAATGTTGCTGTCAGTGAAGGCAACGCAACGGGCATACAACGTCTGGCCATCGCTATTGATAATAACAATCAGACTGCGCTCGTACTCCAAATACCAGCAGCCAACCGCGACAGCTTTGGCTTTTAGCTCGGCGCGCATCCAGTCGGGTGCCGATTGGGCGACCAGGACCAGCTTGGCTCTTCCCTGCGCAATGCACAGGTTCAAGCTATCGTAGTTGCAGTGGTACCCATCGTCCGGCGTCGACATAGCCATAACGTCCATCGTTTCCATCTGTTAAAGCTTCAACCGTATTAGATTCAGCACCGATTTTATTACTTATTCGAACCTTTTTCTCTTTTCAAGGGGATGGATATGTGAGAAGACCTGAAGAACCCTTTGGCTTTTCCTGCTACGGATTCCTTGATCTATGTAAGTCTATGCTATATTATTATCCAACCAAATTAATGCACAATTTTTCTTACTTATTCGTAACTCTTTTCCTTTTTTTACGAGATAATAATTGCTGCAAATTTTCCGTTCGAATGATTTGGCTTTTCTTTCGACTGACTTTTTCCACTGACTTGGCAAATAACTAAAGGGCCAGCCTACTCGTGAGGTAAAAATCTGTACAAGATAATCCTATCGATACCGTTCTGTCATGTGTGACCAGTGTTGTCACCTCTGTCCCATATGGTGCAACCCTTCGTTTTTATTATTTTGTCAATTGGTGATAGGTGCGTGTGCGCACTCGTCCGCATTTATTGTGGCATCCAAAATACATGATACTTCCTTGAAGGGTATACCAACAGCGACGTCAACGTCAACGACAACGACAACGCCAACGCATTGCGCATGGGCAGCGCGGCAGCAGCAGTAGCAGCAGCGCTGCGTAGCCGCCAATATTATAAAAAAAAAGACCTGGGAATCGGAAGCGTCTTGACGTTGGCGCTCAGCCGCTGTCGCTGTCGCTATCGCTGCTTCTGTCACCTACCTTTACCTTTAGCTCTGCTGTTACCGATGTCTCTGGCTCTGTCACTGTCGCTGTCGCTGTCTCTGCCTACCTTCGCTGCCGTTCCGCGCACTCAAAAGACGTTGAAATGCGAGCGCCGAGCGTCGTACGAAATCAGAACGTTGCCGCTGCGCAGACGCAAAGCACGCGCCCACACACCCACACACACAGCCACACACACACACACGCACGCACACTCCCACACGCACAATCGGGATATATACTCGCCGATACACCACCCCGTCATCCAAACGCGCTGGAGCAAGCCGGCTTGCCATATAAATATCCGCACAAAATAACTAAAATTGTTTTCAAATATTTCCACAATTTCAAGGATTCCACACAATTATTTTGCCCATTTTTTGTGCACAATATATTGCGTGTGTGTGATTTTTTTTTTTTTATCGTGTTGAAAAGTTTACTGCGGATCTTTCACAGTGTGTGTGTGCGTGAACAATTTTTTTTGAAAATATTTAAAAGTGTTAACTAAGTGGAGTACATTGACAGGTAATTTGTAATCAGTGGAAAATATCAGGAACAAAATCAATATATTTATTCTCTCCTGAATGGCAGAAACACTTTTTTTTTAGCACATTTTAGCCCAAATGATGGTATTGTGCATCTCTAGCCGAATGAAATGATTGCGAATCAATTTTCATTTAGTAGTTCGGGGGGGGAAAAGTGCATATCCAAAAATTAATAACATTATTTCAAACAACACTTTGAAGCGATTAATGAGTGCTCTTATCTCTAATCCATCTCAGCCACAAATATTAAATTTAAAATTAAGGCAGCTAAAATTAAAATTAAAACAAAATGGCATTAGCATTTTATATCTAAAATTTTGCGGTACAATTTTATATATTTTATATATATGTATAAATCCTGATCGGAACAGGAGAAGTATTTCTGTTGCATAAATACGGTTTGCCGCGTGTTCAAATTAAAAAACCCATCGCATTAGCATTTCTTATCTAAAATTATGCGGCGTTGTAATAAACAAATTTCATATAAATTCTGATAAAAACGCGAGACGCATTGTTGTTCCGCGGAGAGGTTCAGCGACATTTCCACCCAAACTGAAATTCAATTCTGAAATTCTGAAAAGTGCACCTGCCAAGTAATTACAGAACTCCAGAATTCACGGTACGATTCAGTTCGGTTCTGCCGTCATGTCATTCAAATAATCGAATTAACCCCGAAATCTGCTCTCGCTGTTTGGGGCTTTCGTCGAGAGCCAAATGGAGTGCCACCCGATCGGCATACTAAAGAGGGATGGATGGCTTGGAATGGAGGCCTTCGTGGAATGGTCAGGGTACTCGGACTGGCACTCGCACTCGTACTTCATACAATGTGCAGTTAATAGAACCCGCTATGCCAGGGAATTGGGGAAAGGGGATATCACTTTTATGTGCCCCATGCCATGGCACGGCAATGGCATGGCATTTGTGCATTTCAATGAGGCTCTCTTTTAACGTGCGCCTCTGAGTAATTGATTCCACACACCGAAAAGGGAAAAAAGAAAAAAAAAACAAAACACTGTTTGCAATGACTCAAAATCACTTGGCCAGAAATCATTTTTCGTTTAGCCATGAATGCACATACACATACACATAATACATATAATATATATAGTAAGTATTTTATACGATTTGATGCATATATATATATTATGTACATCACGTTGGGGTGTTCTCCATTTGTGGAGTTTGGGTATGGAATGTTGTGGTGGCAAAAGGAAAGAAAGCAAAAGTTTTCTGTTTATTGTTGCGCAAGAAAATGTCATTGTTACTTTCTATCAACGGATGGGGAGGGAGCTCTACAAACAGCATGTCAAAACTATTCAAGTTCAAGGAAAATCCCAGTTTTATCAAGGCAAAAATATATGTATAAATCTGCTCTCTAGTGCCTGCAAGCTTCCAGGGTAAATGTGGGATATGGGCCGCCTACCAATCTCCTCCGCTCACTACTGACCTTCAATGTTGGGCCGTTAAGCCGGCTTGGCTTACTAACCCTCCAACCCTTCCGCTCACCGCAGAGTTTTCGCTTTCGATTAACACTCTTTAAATACCAAAAGTGCCAAGGATGCCAAGAGCCAGTTCCAGACCTCACGTCGGGTCAAGATTAACCAGAGGAGCAGATATATGTACATAAACTGGGAGAGACTGCTGGACTGGCACACGCTTGTTCTCACGCCCTGTCGGGCCATCAATTGTGGTCTCTCGTGGCACAAAACAAAAGAAATTTCAAAACGGAAATATCACAGCGATGCCTCAAAACAACAACAGCAACAACAAAACTGGATATTTAGATTCAGTTTAAACCGAAATCGTACACAAAATGTACATGCGATTCTAAGCCATTAATTGGGCCATTTGTTTGGCAAAGACGTTTGATTCATTTGCGGTTTTTGGAGGGGCGGCGGGTAGAGTAGCCAGCAAAATCCGTATTCCAGCTGACACATTGACACATTTTTCTTGCCTTGAAACAATTGGATACGATATACTGGTGGATCGACCGATCGATCGACAATCAATGTGAAGCGAAGCCTTCTCTTTGATTATAAAATTTACGCATGTTTGATGCGGCTGCGGTTCGAAGACACTTCTACGTGAGTGGCATCCATGAGTTGACGGAGACGCAGACGGAGACCCATGGAGTCGTGTCGTGTCGTACACTAAATACAGCCTCGAGCCATCCATCCATGACGATTCTTGATCGGGGAGGGGAATTGACTCGCCAGCGACACTTACAAGTCTGTTTATGTTTGTTTATTTATGGTTAATTTATTTATGATCTTATAAAGTGGACTTATCAAAAAGCCATTAGCCACTACAAAACGGTTAGCCCCCACAAAAGAAAACACACACACACACACATGGAGAGATTCTGTAAACAGATTTCGTGGGAGATTTATTTCTTTGTGCCAATTCCAGAACAGAACCACTTCGCGTGAGGCGAGGGAGAACCCAAACACAAAACCCAAAACCCAAAACCAAAACTAAACCAATTAGTGCTCGGCGGTTCGTTAATAGATTTCGTTGGGGACAAACAAACAACGATTTCCATTTGATGCCATTCCCAATTTGCAAATCAGTTGAATAATTTCTGGCGACTTAGGAGTGTGTGGTGTGACCTCTAAAAGGGTATTATACTCATGGAAGCTTACAGAATCGTGACTGGTGCAAAAAGCTGATGACAGCAATAATGATTATTATTATTATGCGTATCAATATCATTATTTCTGATTTATTTCTGTCGCCCAAAAATTCGAGACAAGATCTGCTTTTGTGTGTGGGCTTCCACATACAAATGTACCTACATATATATTTGAATCTATTTGTATATATGGCGCCAAGCCATATAAATCATACGAATATTTTGGGGAAGGTTTGAAATTGGAAAACGGAAGAAATAATACACGTAGCTAAGTTTCTTGTTCAATTATTGAATGTGAGCGAAATATAAATGCTTTTGAGTCATGAAAACGAATAGAAAATAAAGACATCAAGCTACTTCGGTACTCAGTTTCTATGGTACAAACATTTCTATTCTTAGTTTGCCGTAGAAATATGTAACAACCAATCTGAGACAAGTCACTGGGCGCCATTGCCTTGCCATTTTAAATAGTGTTTGGGTAATGCTATAATTAATTGCAGCCCCTCCGGGGCCCTTCTCTGCACGACTTTTGACACGACACCACTCATTGCGTTCCGAGTGGACATCTTTATTGGCCCGATTATTGCAGACACGGTCACGCCCACCCCGCTTCAGCCAGACAGCCAAAAAAAGAAGGCCCTGGCCAGAGGACAGAAGACAGAAGACATCGATTGCATAAGGTGATACATTTATTACCTTTTTTTGTTGTTGCTTTTTTTCGATGTGTGGACTCTGTGGAATTGCGGCAATTGCGCAATGGAATCGAACATTAAATAAACCCAATGCGAAAGACGGGGCTACGGGCAGCGGCCAGCGGGCAACTCCACAGCCACGTTGGTGGCGCTTCTGCTGAGTCTGGGTCTTCGTCTGTGTCTCCCCTTTACACGTTCAACTTCCCTGTTTTTTTTTTTTTGGGCACCAACAATTTGGTTAATTTACAACTTAATTTCTGTCATGATTTTCAATTTATCAGTGGCTCAATGACCAGAGGCTGCGGAGATTCCGTACATTTTTATTTCGGGGCACCGAATTGCAGCACCCCGCCCTCTCCTCTCCACTCCTCTCCCATTGTGCTGCTTTACAATTATGATAAACGTTGTTGGTTATTGCCAGTTGTTGTAATTGCATATTGATTGTTGTAGTTGTAGTTGTAGCGTCCACAAGGACACTTTTTCGGCTTTGGTTTGTGTTTGCATCTCTGTTTGGGGGGCTCCATTTTTTTTGGGTCTGGGGCGCCCATTAATCGCTTTTTGCCGCTATCGTGGAATATTGCATGTTGCACGCTCATTTAACACAGTCGCGACCCCGGCCTGCCTGCCTGATGCCTGCCTGCCAGCCAGCTGCCTTATTGATTTCTGGGGCCCCAATTAAAAACCCAGCACTTATGCCTAATTACATCGCTTGTGGCAGGGTAGGGCAGGGTAGGGCAGGGCAGGGCAGGGCATGTT